AACATATTTTTCATTTCAGTTATTACGTAATCATCGAATTCTTTAACATATAAATTATTCTTTCTTGTATTTAAAAGTTCTTGTAAAACCGGAGATGGAATTTAAAGAATTTGAGCCTCGGTTTAAATCCGCCAAAACCCGGTTTAAATTAAGCGCCGGCTTAAATCTTTAAACATTTGATACAATTTGAAGTGGCACCAACCATATTTAAACCGCGGCTTAAATTTAAACCGCCGCTCAAATTCTTTAAATTCGGCCATATTTCATTTGTTTCTTAACTAACATTTTACTAAGATCCGAATTTTTCTGCAAGAGGGCAAATTCACACTCTAAACTGGAGGGATGATTTTAAGAATCGTTTTTTTTTAAATTTGTTAATTAAAACAATTAAAATGTTATAAACATTCGAAAGTAAACTAATAAGTCCCTCTAAGTCTCCTAAATTAATAACCATTAAAACCGTTGCCTAAACTATAGAAGAGTGTTTTTAAACTACAGGGTTCGTCCTTATTTTTCTCAAGACAATGTTCTAAAGCTGTAAAATGACACAATTAACATAGAAGTTCTACATAATAAAACAGTTAGCAGACGCTTTAAGAATTTAAGAACAGAAATGGGAAACTAGAGATACGTTTAGGGACTGTTACGGGAAACTAGGGATACGTTTAGGGACTGTTACGGGAAACTAGGGATCCGTTTAAAGGGTTGTTGACGTATTTTCAAGCCACTCTCTCCATTTAAAAGTAACACATACGATTTACAACCACTTTAAACATTTACATTAGTAAATTAAAGGGTTATCTTGGTTTTTATACAAATTGGTTGCAAATTGATTACAATTTTTACATAAAAGTTACTCATGAACATGATACGATAATAAAAATTACAATGTTGATAATTATAATGATAGTTATAATAATAATAATAATGATAATTTAATAATAACGATAATAATAATGATAATAATAGCAATAATAATAATAATAATAATAATAATAATGATAAAGATGATGATCATGATTGTATTCTACAGTATGTATGATAGATTAAAAAATTAGGTATGATTAAAATTTAAAGATTAATAAATCCTAAGAAAGAAATCTTCGTTTTAAAAAATAATGCCATAAGCTGCCATTTTATTAATTTTTGCTATTATTTTATAATATTTAATTAACATTTGGGAAGGCGGTCNGCGCATTATTTTTTTAAAATTAATGGAACAAGATTTTCTTAGAGTTGAGATTAAAAAGTTAATATTGCGATGTAACAACTGATGTTGATTTGAAGTACCAGACTCTCCTCTTGGCTAGTGGTCACTTAAGCACTTTGTGGTTATTTAAACACTTTGTGGAACATACAAAGCTATGACAAAACAGGACAGTATGCAGAGTAATCCAGTGAGATAAATGTGATCAACCCCCCCCCCCCCAAAAAAAAAAAAAAATTTAGCTTAAGTGGTGTTACCAGCTAACTTGTTGATACCTTATTATGGATATTTTCTAAATTGCTTTTGTTTGTGTATTTGACAAAATTTTTAATAAAACTATAGTATCAGATCTGCCCTAAAACTCCACCTAGTTTGTAAAATCAAACCCTCAAATAATGCACGCAAGAAACTATAGATTTATTTCAAAACTGAAACTAATTTATCCTTAGTTCAGTGTGTGATATCCATTAGATAAAGATGAAACTAGATTATTGGAATTGTATAAAATGATAATCTGTGTATCACGACTTTTCTCTCTTCAGAATCTAAACTGAAGGATTCTGATTGTCCAAATTGAAACATATTTCATTATGAATATTTAGAATTCAAACAATTTCTCCCATCCTAAAGTTTGTCTTCAAAGCTGGGAGAGCGGGGGGGAAGCAGCTGGGCATGAACCTCAACTTTTTTCCCATCTATACCATATATTAGCTTTTTGTCTTCCGGCAGCCATGAGCCACAACTATTCAGTCTTTGCATGCCGCACCATTTTCATCTTCCGGCAATTATTAATTATTTAGATGACAAATTTAATGTATTCAAATTGCAATTTAAAAAAAATCTAGCCTCATTACGCAAAAAATATAACTTTGATTCTCTTTAAAATGTAATTAATTAAGGTAATTAAATACCAATGAATTGTTTCTTCAGTTGATGAACTGGTTTACAAAAAAAATTTAGGCCAATTCGACTTTTTTCATCTTTTAGGATTAAAACTCTATAATTAATCAGAGTATTAATCAACAGCTTCTATTTGCCTAATTTGTAAACTTGTTTATAAAAGCTTGTTATAAATCAAAGAAATTATTTTTAAAAGTCGTCTTCATTGTATTGATACAAACACCGACCACTGTATTAAAAAAACACTATTATTGATGAGGAATATTCGACAGAAAAAAAATTAAAAATATCTATTCTACTCTTCACCGTTAAATGTAAGGGAAGGGGGGGGGGGGATTGTTGACTAAAATCATGCACATTTTTAACAAATTCTTGTATCAATAAATCCTGGATAAACACGGTGGTTTTACAAAGTTGTAACCAGTAGTGTTTCTGCATAAAAAGAATTACTTCCTGAAGATAAGTTGACCTAAAATCCTTTAAAAAGGTTAATTAAAAAATTAATATAAAAAATGGATTTTTAACTTTTTACTGTTGATTTATATAGATATAGTGTATAGCATTAACAAGTCTTGTTCCTGTTCCCTGACGAGCTATTGAGAAGCTATTTGCTACAACACAAAAAATGCCTTTAAATTTTTCTTTGTTAAAACTTTAAAACTGGGGGAATAAAGATGTCATACATTATAAACTTTAGAATAGATATTATGTCTTGATTTAGGTTGATGAATAGATACTATAAATGAATGATTTTAACTTTATCTTTTTTTCCCTCTTATTAATGTTTCTTTCTTTTTTACTATTTAAAACTTTATATCTGATGGAATAACCATGGAATAAGCAATAGAAGGCTCTGTTTGGACATTCCTATCATGAACATCTTGACCGACATGTCTAACATTTTGACTCGGTAGAACCACGGGAATTATAAAAATCTGTTTAGAGTAGATATTTCTTGACAGTTATAGACAGTAGACACAATTTCCCCCCTTTTGTTCTTTATTTCTTTTTTCTTTGCCTTCTTTTCAATTTTTCATTCACTTTTTTTGTGTCTTATATAATGTACCCCCCCACTCTTTCCCCCTTATTGGGAAATGGGGGGGAGGGAAGAGGGATGAGAGAGTGGGATGGGTAAATAAAAAGTTAAAAAGAGAAATATTTCTCTTTATTTTCTTATAATATCTTGTTGACAATATGCAATGTTTGTCTCTGTTGTATAAAGCTAAGTTTCCAACTGGGATATTTGAAAACAAAATTCGAATAATTAACATATTTTACCAATAAACTAAACATAAGCAGCGTACACAGTAGGAGAGGGGGGGGGGGGGG